TGAGATGTGATGGTAGAGGAAAGCAAAACCAGGAACTTAGTATGACACCTGCCACGGGCATCTTGGATAAAGCACTCTTGGCTGCTAGACAAATGCAGGCCTTCATCCTTCAGCAGCCAATTAGTTTTGTACACACAAATAGTCTCACCGTGGAATAAAGCATGCAGAAGTTTATTGGGAAGCTTATTCCCTAGGAAGGGAAGTGGAAGTGAAGCAAGCTGGAGGAATGACTAAGAAGTAGGGGGGAGTTAAGCACAGAGTAGCAGAAGCTGGCTACCCACTTGGCTGACCCATCAGGTGAGTGGGTTGCAGCTGGAGCATCACACCAGATAAAATAACAGGAAGAGCCAAGTGATAGCACACACAGGGAAGATGACCACCAGGATAACTGAACACTGGAATAATCTTTTAATACCACTAAGCAGGGTGACAAGGCAGAAGAGGACATATAATGTGATGAATAGAATTACTCACATCTGACTCAGGACTGAATGGGTGTTGTTACTTAGTGCTTTTTTTTTGTCATCTTATTTTGAATATTTTACAAGTAACTGAGGCCAAAGGAAACATGTCATGAAGCCCTTGGGAAGAGAGATGTTGAGAATGGAGAGTCTGCAAGTGAGTGAACACAAAGAACGTGTAAACCTACACATCTCAGGAAATAATAACTGCACAATCCCCTGAGGTGAGAAAGGAACGGTTGCCAATATGAATCAATGGACATGCACCACAGAGACTTAATCAGATGATGGATGGGACTGTCCCACTCTGCTCTGCACTTGTATGGCTACACCTTAAGTCCTGTGTGTAGTTTTGGGCACCATAATATAAAAAAGATATAAATCTGTTAGAGAGTGTCCAAAGGAGGGCCAGGAGGATGGTGAAGTGCCTTGAGGGGAAGCAGTATGAGGAGCAGCTGAGGTCACTTGGCTTATTTGGCCTGAAAAAAGGAGACTGAGGGGACACCTCACAGTGGTCTTCAACTTCCTCACAAGGGAAAGCAGAGGGGCAGGTACTGATTTCTTCACTCTCGTGACCAGGTACAGGACTCCAGAAAAGGTCATGAAGCTGAGTCAGGGGAGGTTTAGGTTAGATATCAGAAAATGATTCTTCACCCAGAGGGTGGTCAGGCCAGGAACAGGCTCCCCAGGGAAGTGGCCACAACATCAGCCTGACAGAGTTCAAAAAGTGTTTGGGCAACACTCTCAGGCGCATGGTGTGATTCTTGTGGCTGTTCTGTGCAGGGCCAGGAGCTGGACTTTGACAGTCCTTGTGGGTCCCTTCCAACTCGGGATATTCTATGATTCTATGATTTTAGGTCTCACTGTAACAGGCCAAGAGACCATGGAAGAGCAAATGAAGAAAGGACAGAAGAATGCTGCCAACTTACCTGTGGGAATCTTGGGGGTAGCTTAGTTTTAATACAGTTTCCTGAACTCTTCAATTTGTGCCCCAGACAGTACCCAGACATATCCCTGTGTCTGCTGCTCTGAGGACCTGCTCTTTCTAACCTAATGCCTGCATAATGGAAACTCCATGAACTTGGATGCAAACTGCAATCTTCCTTAAGAAGAGAAGGCTCATCATCTTGGTGGGCCCCCAAGAGGCAGATCTGGGACCAGGCAAAAAAAACTGGTTTTTGATTTGATGCCCTATCAGCCTGGCCTGTGCTATGGTGCTCCCTGCCTGGTGGGTACTTGCTTATCCCCAAATACACAGTTTAGCCCTTAGCTCAGCACAGTGAGTCCTGGGCCAGGAATGGGTGTGTCACTTTTTGGGGAGCCTCCTTAAGATGTGTAGTTCTGCTAAGTGCCCACCCCTGGGGGCCCTAACAGCAAATTAACTTCTCAGGCACATGCCTGTCGTCCTGGGACAAAAAAAAAAGACTACTTGCATGCAGAGATTTTACAAATTTGGTCATCGTGACCAAACTTTATTACCCATATTATGTAACTGTGACAAAGTCTAGGAATCAAGCAACATGGGGATCACAGAGGCTATTATGTTTATTGTGCTGAACAGACTGTGATAAACCATTAAAGGAACATTTTCAACAAGCAAGCGATTTGAAGTACAATCATAGACAGCAACTCTACATGAAGAACAAAGCAAAAAGTTAGAAGACACTCAAAAGGAAAAGTAAACTGTAGTTCAACATCTCGAAGCAATTTTTTTTTCCTGCAAACACACCTCTCTTGCAGAAATGGTAGAAGAGTTACATGTCCAGTCATAGTTAGCAGTGACCAATGACAGCAAAGAACAGTCGTATAAAATTTATCTCCCACAAAAATAAACTATATATATAAAAAAATTTTATGATGTTCTCACTGACTCAATGGCCACATGCAATTTTTCCGTCTGAAAAAATGAGGTATAGTAGGCCCTAAGAGGTAGTAATGTGTTTTGATTGTACTACAATATATAGAAAATGTAGGATTCAGTTCATCAGAGTGGTAAGTCTCTCAGAGGTTGAAGAGTGACACACAGAGAGCAATTATTTCTGTGTCATCCACTGAATACCGTGGCTTAAAAAATGCAACAAAACCCCTCAGACCCCAAAAGGGACTTGCTAAGGCATGATTTGATGCCCTTTGAAGTCAGCAAAATTCCTATTACTGCCTTCAAGTGACACTGGATTTGGCCTGTTAGAGCTACTTATAGCTAGGATTATTTCTCTTTCACTCGATATTATCATGTCTAGTTACAATATCCCAACCAGCTCTTTCCCAGCCACTGAACCCCGCGCAGTGTTTGTGGAGGTCTGTGTTTCTTGACACTGCCTCTTGGGAGAAGCCAGTTATCCTTAACTGCACTTGGCTCCACGCTAAAGCCATACCAACAGATGCCTTCCTGAGAAACTACCCCTGGCCCAGTTATTAATACAATGGTACAAAGTACTGACTAGGAAAGAGAGGAAGAAGGGAAATAAAACAGAAATAGAGAAAATGAAATTGGAGGTGGGGGAGAGAAAGAACAACAAAAGTGAGAGAGGAGAGAATAAAAAACCTCTACATAAGAAGCATTTAAAATAAATCTGGCTGAAACATATTACAAAATCACATTTGTGTAAAATACACGAAAATACTTGTCAAGTATTTTCTTACAATCTACTAATTTTTTTTTTTAAAACACATATTTGTGATTGCATTATGCAAAAGCTGAGCTTGTTGCTTCCCACCTACAAAGCTTCAAGTTTCTTTGAAGGTTTTTTTTGTTCATTTTTTATATTTTTAATACGAAAGTAATTTAAAATGTGTTCATTTTCCACAAGTTATTTTACAAAAATAATTTTGAATTAGGGATTAGTTGCAGTCCTGTTTCAAACGTCTCAAAACTGATGCTGAAAGTAACAAGTTCATTCCATTTAAAGTCTGGAGGTAGGTCTTTGTCAATCAATTAGTCCATTTCTTTAAACAATTCATTTGAGGTACAAACTTGGACAGTAATATTTAAACTTTACAGCTAAATTTTTTCTGTCATGTAGTGTCCTTGAAGAAAATTATCCTCACAAACCTATCAGCAATTCAGTACAAAAATATATTCAAGTTAACAGTACATTACACAGAAGTCTAGCAGAGAATAGAGTAAGTACATAAAATAAAACTAAACAAAACCAAAACCAAAAACCCACACAAAAAAAGGAAAAAATCAAACAAACCAAGTGAAAGAAAAACACATAGTCATGCTGAAACACAAAAAAGACATTGCTTCCTTAACTGCAAAAAAGGTTGAAATAGAAATAAGGGGAAAATGCAGATACTCATGATTATCTACCCAGTAAAAATTTCCTGCATTGAATGTGTATAGCAGCATGTATTTATCAGTCTGTTGAGTTATTTGTAAAAATCAGAGGTAGTATTGAATAGTGGGGTAATATTGCATCTGGTGCTAAAAGTGCTGCTTTGAATGAAAAGATGGAGAAATGTCACTGGCACAGAGGTGCTCAGTGAACCATCCTATGTCAAAATACATTGCTTAATGTAATGCACGAGCTTAGCTGAGGTACATGGTGTTCATTCTTACATTGTGACTGATGAGTAATGAGGAAAGATTCAATTCTTTCAAACTACTGGTACAGGGCAAGTGGAATTAGTAGAAACTAAGCAAAAATCTGGATTATTTTTCTTCAGATAAATTTATGATTAATTTCTAGGTACCTTTCTGTATGTTTTTAAAGACTTTTATCAATAAAGACTTACTCATTAATGGCATAAGTGTGGTGTCAGTCATTCTTATTTCCATAGAAAACTCCTGGCTCTAAGAAAGCCAACTCCTTGGCTCCCTATTATCCAGATGATAAGGACTGTTCATTTGGTTTACTACTGCTTGTGCTGATATGTTTGTATCTAAAACTATACAACGTATCTTTGTCTTTTTTCCCTTTTGCAAAATGAAAGTACCTTTTTCATGTTGATTTCTTTCTTCTGATTACCAACTGAAGGAAATGAAAAATCAGCTTTCATTTTTTTTTCCCAAAATAATGGTAAGTCTTAAAAAAAAAAAATCAAGTACAAGTCTACAAGAAGGTTACAAAAGAAAAAGAATAGTATCTACCCCCTATCTTTGGTGTTCTAAAACAGGGAGTTCACTAAGTAGGGAGTGGGTTGCTGGAAGTGTTGCAAGGCGTGAGTGTTACACACCCAGCCTTTCCTATTTCAATGCCCATTACAATGACTATGTTACAAGTTTCTTGTTTATATGCAGTGCATGAATGACATAAACCTGATTTGGAGCTCTTCTTGACCCAGTCACCCTTACTTAGCAGCTCAAACAAACTATTAGTAGGTTAGGAAAAAAGAAAACAGTAATTAAAAGTTGCATCGTTAATCTGTGTCCCCTTTGTGTTACAGCAGTTTTTCACTAGACCTAGGACTGTGAAGGGATTATAAAGAAGATGATTAGTCAAATCCTTTTTAAGGTTATGTGATTTTTTTTTCCCCCCAGGCAAAAGTGGAAAGACCATGGCAATAGAAAGTAAGTGGTCAAGGCAGTGTCTTCTCCCTTCAAAAGACCCAACTGCTGATGAGGTAGAAATTGCATGGTGTGATCTCCTAGTCTTCTTCTGCAGATTCTTGTGAGGACGTTTCTTCAGTCTCTTCCTAGAAAACACAAATAGGAAGGATAAATACCGTGGTGACCACGCATCTTAGGCTGCCAGTTCAGCTGTCCCTCACACAGCTGACAATTACCTCTTGAGCTAATAAAATGTCCTTTACAGTTCCTGTGATGTCTCAAGAAGCCACCTTGGGGAGGAAGGGAAGGTACCCTGCTCTCTGATCCCCCCACCTTGCCTTGCCAAGTTTTTCTTCTACTCCAGGAGATGTCAAGAAAAAGCATTCTGTGCCATGCTTTGTCACAGGCCTCTTATGGCCAGCAGACATGGGCAGCAAGAAAATGGAAAGCATTCTGAGCACATATCCAATCCTAAGCAGCTGCTCTGGGAAGCCTTCTCCTCCTCATTGGCCCTAGTGCTGCTTCATGTTTGCCTTCAGCAAGCCTGCCCAAATGTGATGTTCTTATTCTGCTTTTTTAAACAAATGTTCAGTACCTTTCAGGACATGGGTGGTGAACTGGGGGCAACTAACATTTCTAGTAAAAGGGGCTGTCAATGAAAAGCTGTTTTTTATCAAACACTGAACATCATCCCCTAAGACAGCACGTGAAAAAGATCTAGGAAGAAGAGGAATTCACCCCCTTAGCCAACTGAGACCTTTGAAGAATGACCAGCTTAAAACAGCTTATAACAGTCTTCATACTTTAATAGATTTGATTTTCCACATGGCTTCATTTTGTCTGGGTGGCTAACTGACACAATTTATAACTCTCTTCCTTTCCCAGGCCACTACAGTACACCATTCAGCAAAGCTTGCCTTAAAGCTTGCCTGCCTTATACGACCAAACTTCCATTCATTAGTGTTTGAAACACCTCAGCTGTGAAGGGCTCCTAAATGCTACCATGTGTGACACTGCTGCAGAGGAGCGGCATCAAGGAAAAACACAGTGCTTTAATCATAGGCCACTGCTTACTGCAATCCCCTTTCAAAAGGTTTCGACCTCCCCCTGCACCTCCCTGCAAGAAAAGGCCAAAAGAAAGCTGTAAATCCAGGGAATAAACATAACTATAAATGAACGGATGACAGCTTAAAAAATATAACCATAGCAGCATCAAGCCATGAGATTTCACACTGGTTTTGTTTAGTCTGCTTTGGGTTATGTGGGAAAAGTGAAAAGCATGAAGGAAATGCTCCCCCCCTCTTCCTTCATGCCCCCACCCCTGCTAAAGCTTGGGCCTCAGATATTTAGGCCAGTAGGTTTATACCTCCTGACAAGGAAACAGGCCATGACCCTGGGGTACTCTCTTGAGCACCAGGCACAAAGAAAGATGTAGCATGATCAAAGCCGTGGATAGAGCAGAGAGAGCAAAATCAAGTGTCAGCTGCCCTCTGACCCTGAATTTTCAATTCTTATATTCCAGATGACACTGATCTATCGTACAGATGAACAATTTTTTCCTCACAACAACTACTGTCTACTTGTAGCTGGGTTATATTCACAGCACTGGAACAAAAATGATTCTCAACTCATGAAATGATCAAGCAAATTTTACTCTGTCTCTGGTGGCACTGGGGAAACTGAGCTCACACTCCATCAAATCCCATTAATGCATAATGCATTTTTCCGGCTTATCTTCTGTGCAGAGCAGGACTGGTACAACATTTCAGTCAAGAAGAAAAATGGTATTTTCAGGCACCTACCGGAGGGCTAATTTGGGCTGCATGTGGAGAAACACAGCAAAATATGTCGGTTTGAACCTTGGTAATTCAGAACTCAGAATGATTGCGGCAAACCCCAGTTTTGCCTCCAAGCCAAGTATTTCAGTTAAAAAATTACTACTGTGGGTTCTGTACTCTTAACATAATACAGGTAGACGTGTTTTGGTATTTGATGATGATCACATGTTTAATTTCTTACAGTGCTGTGGTCAGCCTCTGATTATCATTTCCTGGAAGACGGCAGCACACGTGTGGGTGCGGAGCGGCAGCTCTCTTTGTTTTATGCTTGGCTTGTCAGGAGACTACTGAAACCTGATGAAATCATTTTTCCATGAAGGTAGACTTCCGATCACAAAGTAAGAAGGATGGGGGAGAGGCAAAGTATGTGAAAGGACATACTTCAAAGCTCAGCCAGGGTGGCCACAAGAGAGCTCTTTTTAGTTAAAAAGTTGTCCACTCTAGTGATTTTTACTATGAATCTCACAGTATTTTTTTCCCTAGTAATCCTTGTGCAGTGACCAAGAAAATAAATGAGAATTTCTTCCTTCATACACTTATATGTGCTCATGTAATGAAAGAAGCTTCTCTCACCTACACATGTATGTGCAAATATGTGTACCTGTAATACTGGGAAGGATGAGAAACTAAAAATCAAGCTAACACCCCCCCCTCCCCCAATAATGTAATTAATAAGCTAATTATTAAAAAAAAATATTTGAGACTGACAAACTTCAAAATCATATCACTGTTGGGAAATACTTTTTTATGAAGAAAATCTTTTCAAAGGAATCAGATTGTTCATTCCTTGCAAAAGCCTACAATGCCTCTGTTGCAGATGAGTGTTTTAAGCCAACCTATCATGTAAGCTTCTTGTCAAGACACTGATGGAGACATGACTGCTTATCTGAAGGCTTACAATTCAAACAAAGGGATACTACAAATCAGACATATATGAAAGGAGAGACCTAAAGGAAGAAGTGAGTAGAGGTTCTGAAAGACAGAGTACAGATGTATAATGCAGGAACAGAGAGGGACTTTTTGCACTTGTGAAAAACTGGTTGCAAATATCAGAAGGTTGTGCAGCTGGGATCTTCAACCCCACCTCTGCCTCAACAGCACCCGCCACCCCTGCACACACACTTTCTGAAAGATGGAGGGTGGGGCAGGCATTTTGAAAACTGTGTAACCTTTGGAAGTTGAAAACCGGCTCTGTGCTGAGTCACTTCAGCCAGAGATTCACTGAAGTGCTGGCACTGTCAGGGCACTGGACACCTCAGGGGAAGGATGCTTACCAGTAGTAAGCACCCTCCAAGCACTTGCAAGTCCTCACAGACCTGCAAAGGTCAATGGCACAGCCATCTGTCATGGTCCCCGAGTCAAAAGTTGAAGGAGGAACTGGGGCTGGAATTAATTGCTTTGTAAGTCCAGATGTGCTTCCAATAAATTTGAAGAGAAGGGAAAAAATTTAGAAGGAAAGCATGGTCATTAGAGCAGACATTAGAAATCCAAGTCACTCAAAGTGTGATAGCTATGCAGAACATAAATTCAGCAACACCATCACAGGATACACCCAGCAAAGAAGCAAAAGTTTTGGGTTACACGGCAGCTTTAATTGAGGGTGTTCTCACTTAGGTGCATTCACTTTAGTTGTGGAGGCAGAATGGTGACATGTGTAAATTGACCATAAAAGTGCATTGACCCAGTTTTGCCTTGAACGGCTACTTCCTAGGTTATTTGTTTTCTGCTGCAGCAAACTAGTGAGAGGTTGGGCCAGCAGACTGCAAAGAGAAATCTGAGAAAGCTTCAAACCAGGCTGGATCTGGCCAACAGGGAAGCCACAGCCATGAAGAGCTCAGGAAGCATAGGACAAATACTCGAAGAACAGGGTGAGTGTTCATATCCATAGCTCAGGCTTTAGTCCTGCTGCTACGACAATATCCCAGGTGACTTCCCATGCATCCATGTGTACATCCCCATACATATATCTGCAGGGGCTGATTGGCACAGGGACCAGCTGCAGAGGCAGTTTCACTTGGCACACTTGGTCATTCGCAGGTCCCATGAATGAGTATGTTTGTCCTGAGTTGCTATAGGACATAGCATGATTTTATATGGCAAAGGCAGCACACTCAGCCATTTCCGCCCTTCGCTGCTGTAACTGCCCCATCAGACAGGGAGTGATAGGGAGCTGGTGTCTCTCCCAAAACAAGGGCTGCAAGATGGCTTTCTCCAAAGCTCATAAAGGAGCCTTTTCCTGAGGGGCATCACCGGCGAGGCGCTGGCAGATGTGGACACTAGCCTGGACCCTCATCTCTCACTGAGGCTGGCCTCCCACAGGAGAGAAAGGACAAACTTTGCAATGACTCACAGCAGATATCTGCCCTCAGAAGGGCTACTCTGCAGGGGACTGGGATCACTGTTGTTAGCCCTGATTTAACTGGTGACGGTAACAAAAAAGGAACAGGAGGCAGGACAGCAGGTTTCAGTTAGAAGTGCTGTCTGCAGCCAGTATGTTTATTTGGGCTAGCCAACACAGAATTTTGAAATATGACAACCTTAGTGGGATCTGGTTGCCTGAAGACAGCACCTGATGCCGTTTTAGATGCCCTGGACATCTCATCTGGTAAGATAAGCCAGAAAGGTGCTGGTCTCCTGTGTCATGCCCTCCTTCTCTGTGTGGATCCCTGTGAACCCCTGGGACACCTGCGCAGAGCAACTGTGTCAAGATGTGTGGACCCGTGAACCCTCTCCAGAACGATGAAGTTTAATCTCTCCTTTCAAAGTCTCAGTGCTATGGAAAAACAAACTGGTGCCAGACTCTTTTCAGTGGTGCCCAGCAACAGGACTCAGAGAAATGGCCATAAACTAAACCACAATAAGTTTGACCTCAACATGAGAAAAAAATTCATCACACTGAGGGTGGCAGAGCACTGGAACAGGCTGCCCAGGGAGGTCATGGGGTCTCCCTCTCTGGAGACTTTCAAACCCTACCTGGACATGTTCCTGTGTCACCTGCTCTAGGTTACCCTGCCTTGGAAGGGGGTTTGGACTGGATGATCTCCAGAGCTCCCTTCCAACACAAATGATTCCATAATTCTGTTATTCATTGCTAAACCTCAGAGGTGGGACCATCCAGAATGGAGCTGTGCCACAAACAATTGTATTTAAATGTCAGCGTCTTTTCAGATCAAAATCACCCCCTGATCCCAAGAGACTCCTTTCCCACGACATCCTGTGCAGGTGAAATGTAACTCTACCTGATGCCCAAGACCTCTGTTTGGTGATCCACTTTTGGCTAGTGCAGGCTATTTTTTCCTGAAATTACA